GGTCTGACCGGCTTCACCAAACGCGCTGTGGCCGAGAGTGGTCCACGTAAGGGACGCCATGTGGATGGAGGGGTCTGCGTGAGATCTCTCTTGTATCCGCTGCAGCGCGTGGAAGGCTTCCGTCGTCAGAAAATTAGCGGCAGCCTTATGGCGGCGGATGGTTGTTTGGCCAGGTGGAGAGACACCCGCCTGCGTTCCGACAACAGATTGTTACCAGAGGCGAGTTCCCCACAGAGGGTTAGGATCATCATAAAGTTTTTTGCAACGGCAGCACGAATAAAGGCGCGAAAACGGAGGACGTCTTTCCTGTCAACATCATCAGCGTCTATCTAGCTGGTGGGGGTCCCCGGAACGCACCTTTAGGTAGGCTTTGTATCATCTTAGCAGATGGGAAAACAGAACCCTGCATCCTCCCGAAGCCAACGAGGAGCTGGTTCATGAAGAAAACATCGTCGAACACGCCACGGGGGACCAGAGCCTGCGCAACGTTGTTCAAGCCTGGACGTGGCAACATGTAAGCGGCAGCTCTCCGGAGGAAGATACGGTATTGGACAAGAAATCAACATTGCGTCGTATGAGAAACTTCGAAGCACTGTGTAGTACATTCGAGCATGCAGAATGATGAAATGTTTGATGAGTATTGAAGTAGGGCGCTCGGACAAAGAAAGGCTGCCTGTGGTTTCCTCTAGTTTTGATCAGGGCTCATTTGCAGGGCGGGGTGTAGGATATTGTTGCATATTCCATGCTTACCTGAGGCGACAACGGCCTCCTCCAGCGGATTGAAATCGGTATACATGCGACAGGGGATGATGAACTCTCCGCCATATAGCTGCAGAGCACAGTGCGTCCTGTGCGCGCCGTCCAGAATCCGTAGTTGGAGCTTCGCAACTGCCGCCGCACTCAGCTTGCCGGCGGGTACATTCGATGCTTCAACCGTAGCCAAGATGGCGTGCTGCTGCAAGAAACCGCGGGCTTACTTCATCGACTCTGTTATGATCCTTGCCCCTGTCGTTGCTATAGGACGCCCAATTATGTTGACATTGGTGACAGGGATGTGAAACGTGCCAAGCTAGTGTTGTGCCAGCACGCCATTGAGCCTATCCTTCACCCCGGCGATCGGAGTATGTGATGCCATATCCTGCGGCACCCAATTACAGATGGCGCCCGTACTTGAGAACACACCGGTCAAGAACATGGGGCTCAAAAAATAAAAAAATTAAGAACTCGGCCATAAGAACAGGTGCTCAGTTCTGACGTGACATAAGAACAAAAACCGGTATGGAGGTGTCCAAACTCGAGGTCAAGATAAGAACGGAATCCATTGCAGATCTTCCCTGGAAGACAAGAACTTCGGTGGGTAGCGTCACCCCCTCCCCCCCCCCTCCCAGTATTTTTCCCACAACATGGGTGCGTACCGAAAAGTTAGCGAACCAACAGGGTGTGCGTGTGGAATCTCGCTGTGCCCCCTTCACTTCTGCGGCCCTCGGGTTTTTCTCGGGTGCGTGCCATGCAACAAGCTCTCTGTCTGCACGAAGGGCGATCATGTCGCTGCCCTTGGCGACGTTGAGGGAGCTCCAGAAGCAGGCAGCACTCAAAGCAGAGGGCGTGATCCTTGAACGACAGTACGTGGTGATGAAGAAACATATGAGGGAGGGCAACTCCCTCTCGAGCGAAGACTGGGAGGCCTTCGATTTGGCGTGGGACCTGAGGAGCAGCGGCGTGTTCTCGGAAGAATAGTGGACCACGCAGGTTGATGGAGACATCTTGGGCATCATCAACAGCGCTCGCCCTACACTGTCTTCAGACCACGCTGCCGCTCGTCTGCATCCGGAAAGCGGTCAGCAGCAGCAGCACCAGCAGCACCAGCTCCGGCGGCGCGCGGGGCCCCGAATCGAGGAAGGAGACAACGAGAGGACGCCAGCAAAGGCTCGCTGAACGTCTACAACTCGTTTGCTATTGGCAGCGGGGAACCGGTGAGCCCTTGCAAACTCTGTACAAACAATCAATCTCTTCAAATTTGTCTGCATGTGGCAGTGGGTATTTTCTGAGTACATGCCAGCATGTGCCCAGCAGTTTGTTTTTTTTTGCGTTTGTGTTTGTCCGTCTCTTCTTGTTGGCGTGTGCCTACATTTTTGTAGTGTCATGAGTGTACACATCACGTGATACGCCATTGTAAACCGTGAAGATTGATTGGCATACATAACTGCCGTGTCCGGCCGCCCCCCCCGCAAAATTGAAGCAGGGAAATTTATGCCACATACTCCTATGTTAATGCGTGTGTAAACTTCTACTACTGCTGTACCTCGATGTAAAACATGTACAGGAACAAAATATCCGAGACACCGATGTACGTGGTGTACTGCTGTCGGTACTGCTGCATGATTTTTTCCAACCTTGCTGATCGTGTACCTACGTATGGCATGCGCATCTATTCCCATTGATCGGTAGGTTTTGCGGACTCGCGCTGGCGTGCAGGAGTATGTGTCCGGCGTCAGTTTTACATCGCCGGCCCCGACCCCCGTGTGCGATGCCCCCACTGTCCGACGACCTTTGTGAACACACAAGGCCAGGGAGTCTACATGAAAACCAACCACAGCACGGCAAACATGTTCCAAGGCCAGCGACTGCAGCGGATGCTGGGAGACGATGCGAAAGGGGATGTCCTGCCGTGGAGCGCGCCGGACCTGGGCGCTGTTATCACGTGAAGATCGATGGCATCANAGGGAGTCTACATGAAAACCAACCACAGCACGGCAAACATGTTCCAAGGCCAGCGACTGCAGCGGATGCTGGGAGACGATGCGAAAGGGGATGTCCTGCCGTGGAGCGCGCCGGACCTGGGCGCTGTTATCACGTGAAGATCGATGGCATCACAGGGGCGTTCGTCCTCCAGCCGAAGCGTCTCCCCGACATCGACCTGGAACCTGACGCCTTCACGCGTACTGAACCTAAGTCGGCTCGTCGTGACGGTGCCAAGCACAATCGCTACGACTAGACTATAGGTTCAAAGCCCACGTGCTCCAGCAGCTGCATATCCTCAACGAGGACCGCCAAACCCTCTGGCAGGCCGAGCACCTCACACCTCTGCAGTACCTGGAGACCCACATGAATGTCCCTCGCCCCAACATCTGCAAGTGGGTCAAGGAGGAGTACGAGATCGTGGCGGGCGTCGCAGACGAAGTGAAGCAGACGCTACTCGCGAAACAGAGCAAGGTCTAACCATATCGCATGTACCACTAACGTTTCTGCAGGGGATGTACGCCCGTTTTGCGGAGCACACACGCCATGTGCACGGAGAGTTCGACTCAGCATTCAGCAGGTCGCACTTCAACCAGATATGGCGAAAAGCGACACCCTTGATCAAGCTAGCGAGGTTTGGGGATTTCATGACATGTACCGACTGCACAGAATTTATCCAGAAACTGCTCGGTGCCCCCGGCATCAGACCGATCCAAGATACCCGGCAGGGCGGACGGAGATTGTTCGTCACCAAGAGGCACACCATAAAGTAAGTTCGACAGGGACAACCAGGCGGCCACAAACCTATCACACATGCCCCTGTCGGCACTTTCCCGTAGTAGTTCTGTTGCCCTAAAGTTGTCGGTTGCCCCGATTTCGATTCTTGTCCCGCGTGAATGCCCCCCTCCTAGTGTCGTTTGATGAGTATCGTCCGTGGTGATGGTATTGATGTGTTTGGCGTCGTTCATGATAGGCGACCTGCACAGGCTGGCACCTACGCTAGCTTTCCTCCTCTTGACTCTGTAGCCCCCGTTGTCCCTTAGACGCCCTCACCGCGCTCGCCGCCGGTGGTAACGGACATTCTTCTTTTTCGTGATCGTTTGCGATGCGATTAGTACATGATGTGTTTGGGTTCACGTCCGCCAGAGGGGCCCGTGGCGATTCAACATGAGGTCGAAGAGCTCCTGAACGTCATCCAAGTTTATCTTACGGAGTCACGCGTACCCTGTGTGGTCTCTCCCCTATTCGTGTAGGAATGGATTTTTTGTGATACTCCTCCAACATAAAGCCACATGACGGCTACATGAACGTGCCATATCCCCCACGTACGTCGATGCAGATTGTGTCGAAGGACAGAGAACTCCTGACGTCACGCATGGAGGCCGCCAGACGAGAGCAGGCGAACGGAACCCCGCTAAACCAAGTGACCATTCAACAAGACTGTGCCTGCCAGATTCGCTACGCGTTAGGGACCGTCCACCCTCAAAACTCACGCGTCTGAGAGGCAAGCGATCTGGTTCCCTCGTGATTGTACCCCGGTCGTCTCTTGGCAAAACAAGTACGTGACACTAGAGCAGTACCTCGTTCGTAGTGGCACGCTGCGGTTCAGATGGAATGACGGCCATTGACAAGTTATGTTGGTTCAATGCAACGGTGTTACTGACACGATTTGTGTTAGCTCAACCAAACTGTGTCGATAAACGTCTACCGTATAGTCAAACCCTATCTCCAACATCTCACCACCTGTTGAGTGAGTTGTTATCCATCTATATGTCGACGTAGTTTGATGATGTTGACGGGTTCCAGTAATTTTCCATTTTCACCTCACCGCGTGTAGAGGAGGTCGGAGAGCTCCAAATTTGCTCTTAATTCACCTTCTTTTTCCTTTTAATCTTATTTTATCCCTTTGCTGACCTTTCGGGTTCATTCTGTTTTATTACAAAGTATACTTGTAGCTGATACCTCTTGTGATGCACATTAGCCTGTGACCACGAGATTCGACCGCGAACAATGCTGGATTATGGCAGAGAGATTGTGACAGAAGGAGGTACTGAATAGGAAGTCCGGGACGTTTTTTTTTTTGACGACTACCTCAATCTTATCTTCGCCTTCCCGCACAACCGTTCGCGTCTACGACTTCAGCGGCTTGTCGGAGCGGCAGAAGGTCATGGCCGTCCAGGCAGAAGGGGCGTTCGTGGACGTCCATTTCGTCCCGCAGACAACAGGTGGAGGTGAGAGGCTTTTAATCTGCATCAAGGCACCCCTCTTGGCAGTGGCCTCATGTGCGGGTGTCGCAGGAAGGCCTCAAGTACACAGCTGGTCACCCGATGGACCACTTTGAAATTCCAAGGGAGCCGTGAATATGTGCAACCTAGCTGTCAGTGCCAAAAAGACGTTTCAGGCGGAACCGCACAAGGTCGCTGAGCCAGCCATTATGCACAGATGAATCGCTAACGACTCAGGGGCGGTGCGGACCCATATTCCCCTGTACCGTCCGTTCATATTTCATGTGTTCGTCTTTGTCTGGTCTTTCAGGGAGCAACCTCGTATGCACGGCGCTGTGGTTGGCCCTCAAACGACTGTCTGAAATGTGGAATAAGCCTGGCGAGCGGTTCCACATCAAGCGTCTCCACCTCCAGCTAGATAACTGCGTCGGCGAAAACAAGAACAACATCGTCATGGCCTTCATTGGCGGATTGGTCGCCGCCGGGGTGATCGGTTCTGCAGAGGTCTGCTTCCTGATCGTAGGACACACGCACACCAAAACCGACCAAGTGTTTTCTCGGTGAGTACCCTTGTTACATCGGAGCCCCTTGTTTGGCCACCCTGACCCTTCCCCCCCCGCGCGGAGGATCGCATTCTGGGCGTACGCCCCGGTTTTCAGCATTCAATAGCGTCCTCACCATGATACCAAGATTTACATCACAGAACGCGCCCGCAAGTAAGATATGGGGCGAGCCTCAATTTCCTTTTGTCGGCCGAAATCCAAGCCTTATTGCTGAGCTTATTTTGGCAGTTCTTATTTTTTGGGGTGTTGCGGGACATTGAGGGTCACCTTGTACACCACCCCCAAAAAACTTTCCTACGTTCACGTTGCAGCCGCCATTCGCCCTCGAGTCTAACGAGGCAACCTGCGGTGGGACCCTTGTGTATCGCTGCATTTGTCTGGCATCCAAGACAGTCACCCATGCCCGATACAACAAAAAATCTTACCCACAAAGGGGTAGGGGTGGATACTGAAGTTCAACGGCCGTTTAATATTTTCACACTCGCTCTGCTGAACTTCGTTTCCCATGGGAGTGGAGCGGTCCCGCTCGCAATATCTTATTGGGGTGTTTCGTACTTCGTGGTTCTGGTTGAGCTCTGCGCCCTGACGACTCCCACTCAAACCTACAGGTTGTCCGTGGGTACCCTCGGTCGAAGCATCTTCACGAGGATTCAACTTGGTGAGCTATTCCGGGAGTCCTACAGGGAGCTTCCGGTGCGGATCGGGACTCCGACCAACCTCGGCAACTTCAAGGGGCTCTACCTCGCCGACATCAAGCTCAACCTTCGGAAGATCCGGAACATGACCACGTTTCGGGCCTTCCGAGTGGGGAAGATAGCCGGGGAGGTTTCCGTGTGGGTCGACCGCTTCATGCACAGCGATGCGTGGCTTGGTCTGACAGCGACCGGCGGGGCCCAGGTCGACGCCAACCCACACCGTCTCTTCCGGTTCGCTGCGCCGACGTTCAACAACGTTCCTCCTTTTAAGCTCAAGACGGTCGACCCCACCGTGATCGCCCTCATCGAGAAGCGCTACATCGCGACGCGGCCCCGCCTAGAGGCTGCTTACGCACTAGATAAGGGGTATGCACATGTGCACGTACTTCGAAGTAGTAAGGTCGTGCTTCGCTCGGCCTCACAGAGCATGAGAGTGGTTACACCTTTCGAATGTAACAATGGCGTTACCTTCCTGGCTAAACCATACAATGGCGTTACCTTTCGAAGTAAACACGTTCGGAGCTACGGTCGCTCGGAGGACAACGACAAGTCATTTTCGCGGGATGTTTGTTTAAGTATCGTGCGAGTTTCTTCGGAAAATACTTTTTCACGTCTCGGGAACCTCATGACCCACAACATCTACGTACTTGTAAACGCCGCTACTTCCATCTCATCGCGCCTTCGCTTGCGTGGCCCTCCATGAACCTCACTTTCTCTGCAGCTCCTGACGGTATGGTCGACGCTCTATTGGCTGAGCAGAGCGACTCGCTCGAGTTGATGCGCTCCGGCGGAACGATCAAGAACTTCGACCTCCCAATGGAATGGCTCCACACGTCGATCCCGCCAGAGCCTTTGTCTCCGGTCCGAGCGCGACCGTGGACGGAGTGGGCAACCCACCCTCTCGGGTGAACGGGATATCAGAGCCCTCTATGAGAAGGGCCCCAAACCCAGTGCTTCGAACACCACTAGCACCACCCAGCGTCGGCGACATCGCATTCTTCAACGCAGAGGAAGCTCCGTTTGTGCTGGGGGAGGTGCTGAGCATAGATGCAGACGCCTCGCCGGTGAACGTCAACATTCACTGGTATGGGCCTATCAACAATACCGTTAGGGCGGGAGCGGGCAGCGCGACTGTCGAGGACTATGCCGTGGCGCGTTTCAGCAAGGATTTCATCCTAACGAGCGGCGCGAAGCTCAGAACGCAGGATGCCAGCGACAAGCCTATCACATGCATTATCGCATGTTGCAGTTCGCTAGCTTCAACGGGCAACATCCCGGCGAGAAATATAAAAGTGCTGATGGAGACTTGCCGGTCTGCACCTTCGTCGTCCTCGAAGAGCGAAGCAAGTGACTCGGACGAAGACTGGTCTGAAGAGTTGGCTGAGGAAGCGGACTCTGAGGAAAACGAGTCCGATGACGACGGCTATGGTTCAGAGTAGTATTGACGGCTAGCAGGGAATAGATTGATGTCGAGAAGGGGGCGCTCTGGGGAAGGAGATTTGTACTAGCGGATCTAGCGCCGTACGATGGTCGACATTTTTTATTCTAAGTCGAGCTTTGTACCCAAATATTGTCGTAGGGACTGTGGGTCTTTCCATCATACTTCATAACCCTCGAAGTGCTGTGTGCTCGGAATTTTTTTGTTTACTAGTGCGTCAGGGTATCTATCTCGCTGCAGATGTTCCGGGCAATTGGAAATTGACCGGAAAACACGTGTAAGAACTCGTAAGAAGTCTGTGTCTGCCCGGGGGGTAGAGGGGGGGGGGGGGGGGGGGGTCTTNGAGCGAGGGTTATCCACCCCGCACAACATGATCTACTCGACAGCCATTATGGTTACCGCCAAAAAAAAAAACGGAGGAAAAAAAAAACCGGTAACCTGGTTGCCGAGTTCACGAAGTGAATTGGCTTGTTTTACAACGTCGTTGCCAAGCGACGAAAACCCAACCCCGATAGCAAATACCGGGGGTAGAGGGGGGGGATGTTGAACCAGGTGCGGTTTGAGGTCCTTGGCGGCGGAAATGTCGTGATTTTCGGCGTTGCCAATGGTGTGAGCGCCGGCGAAAGGGCGTGTGTTCGATTTGGAGGCCGGCCGAGAATGTTTTTCGTTGGAGCGAAAATAAATTATTTGGCACTTTTGGTGCACCAACCTGCCCAAAAAGTTCTTATTATTTTTTTTTTTCTCAGCAAGTATCTTCCACTGTTCTACGGCACACGTCTCGATCGGGAAACCCGAAGAATGCTCGGTATGGCCGAGATCCATGGCCGCTTTCCAAGTTTCAGCAGTATAGAACTGTGTCGTGTCGAGTCGAGGTGCCCTGTACCAAAGGGTCGTGTCTGCAGGCGGTTAATCCTGTGTGCAGTTCCAGACAGTAGTCTGTGTGGTGTGCAGACCGAAGTCTGTGTAACCCGAAGTCTGTTGAGACAGTGACCGACATCGATGTTGTTTCTAGATACCGCTTTTCGGACTTATACCTTCTTTCTTCTTCAGCGTACTTGCAGAGGTGATATGGGGAGGGAAAGTTGAGAGTGAACCCGGTGGGGCTCGCAACACCGCGTGATCTCGCTACAAGTACAATTCCTCTGCTTAGCTATCAGTTTATTCGTGAGCTCCTCGCTAGAACTCGTCACCCATGTTTCGTTTTACCAAACGTCATTTAGCACACCGCATCTACATATCATGACATACAGCAATCATACAGCTGCATCTATTCTACCACACACACTATAGTAATGGTAATAGCCTTGGCAGACGCGTGCAGTTTTCTTCTGTTGCCATGGTTTCTTTGATCCGAAGGTTAGTTTAGCCTCCCCCATGCTGCCCCCTCACGGGTTCCCAGTTAATGGCAGCTGGAAGTGTTTTTTGTGTTTTCGACCGCACAAAGACTGACGTCTTTTCATTGGTCAGCCGGTTAGAGCCGTCGATGCTAATAGTAAAACCACAGCCGATGATGGATGCAATGTTAGGTGTGCTTCAACAATCTCATTGTTGTTCTATATCTACTGCATGCACAAATCCTGCAAGTCTTCATAACTTCTTCCTTGTATACTCCTGCATTGTATACGCGCCCATAATTGGTATACATATTTCTCGAAAAATTCTATTTACTACGTCACCGGTGGCGTTCTTTCTTATATACGTCACCGCCCGTATCTCAGCCCACAGAGCTTCAATTGGCACAAAATAAATTGCGTTGTGTAGCTATGACTCACACTAATCATACAAGCCTTTCGACGGTCAAATCCGATAAGTGGTTGCGGAGATATGCTCAAAAGGGGGCTCAGCGGTATGATATTCTGTATCTGCCATAAATAAAGCGACCGTGCCTCCTCGCAGAGAGTTCTCATCGACACCAACTATGTAACTCGCGTTGTGTTTCCACGATTCACAGCCATCACTTAAGCTATTGGTGTCGATCGGAGCTCTCTGCGCGAAGGTACAGTCGAATTTTTTTGTGGTAGATGCAGTATCATACTGCTGAGCCCCCACTTATCGGATTTGACCGTCGAAAGACTTCTATGATTGGTGTGGGTCATAGCTACATAACGCAATCTATTTTGTGCCAATTGAAGCTCTGTGGGCTGAGATACGGGCGGTGACGTATATAAGAAATAACGCCACCGGTGACGTAAATAGAATCCTCCATATTTCTCGTGCTTCAGCAACTGCCTGTTTCAGCTCCTTCCTTGGTAATCTTAAACAAACATAATGCCTTATGGTCTTACCGAAAAAGTTAATTACTTAACAATCAGTCCACACTTCTTCAACATGACCCGTTTGGTTGTGTGGTTTTGAAATGATTTGTCGTTCTTTACCACGCTGATCACACTTGATTGTAGGTTCCCAAGATTATGTTCAACAAATGGTCTTGCACGCTTTCCGGAATTAATTGCCTTCGACTCTCCTTCTATGTATGGCACAATCGTTGCGTCCTCCATTCTTACTCTACCACGTTCACTCCAATCTTGTACCAACCAGTCGATCTCTGGTTTCAGATAACGGTTGACTCCTTTGATCACATACAATGATTGATTGTAAACAGGGTTGGTTTTCGCCTGATTGAGAGCGGAGTATACGATTGAGAGCGGAAGCCAAAAAAATTGAAATTTCGGGTCCAGACGCCTCTTGCCATTTCTTGGGAAGTAGGGGGCGGGCTCTTCCAAGAAGCGGCGCAAATTGAAGGTCTCATCAGCAGCGTCACGAGCATATGCGTGTCATCGCGATCGGATGCTGCAGCTAGGAGCTAGACAAGTTGCTAGATTTCCCCAGATTGGCTATTCCTGCCTCAAACTGTTTCAGGGCGATTTGATCGCGGGCGGTGAGCTCTGCTGTAGATTCTGCTCCCCGCTGTAGCTCCACAACGAGAGACGCCCACAGGATGACCAGGGTATCGGCTTGTAGCTACGGGCTAGGCCTTCAATTCAAGTCACACAGCAAGCTCCACCTCTCAGCGGTAGTCCAGCTACAGCGCATCGCGCAATCTCGCTCTCAATCAGAAACTTCGCTCTCAATCACACGAAAACCTTTTTTGTAGTAAGCACCTTCTCTTTTGCACCTTTCCAGCAATCATTCGTGGATAGTCTAGCCCGTAGACTAATGTTAAGTTGTCCGGTACCTGACCCCCTGTCTTCACCATGCGCTCTACCAAATTTTCTGAATAGTTCCGAAACGTGGTCCAGTGTACAGTACGGATCCTATGTGTCTCTCAGGTAGATTGTTCACCAATGGGGTGAGATTGTTTTACTACATCTCTAGCTACACGCCAGAGTAAGCTATCTCCGGGGCCTCCGGCAGGGTACGCGGATGCAAGGTGTTGATGGGCGTGCTGCATGGCGGCAATGGTGTTGCCCATACCGCATGTCTCTCACTCTCAAATCAACAATGCCTTGAGTCAACCTTCTTTCTCTTTCGGCCTCTGACGAGCTACCGCACTCAAACATAAAATATTTATTATTATTTTGTTTGCCCTCCGACAATTGCAGATAAATGCAGACATACATAAAAAGTCGATCGTAAAGGCCGTCATGCCAAGCCAAATTAACTCGATGCCCAATAGCTAGAAACGTTTGCCTCTAAGTCAACAAAACTTTTGTCGAAACACGAACCTTAGATGGAGAAAAACGAACAAAACCCCAACCTCATCCACCCGAAATCAAACAAAACTCGGCCCCGTCTTCCCTGGTACCCCTGACACCGTATTGAACAGAAATCCGCTTTCCACCGAAGTGGTTAGGTTAAAGCTGTCGCACGC